TGTGCAAGTAATTGGCTAAATCGAGCCATTTTGCAAGTTTATTTAGGTAGACGGAACCGGCTAATCCACAATGAATTTTACCTTAGCAAGATGTGCCCGTAGGCCACGCTTACCAATGAAGCACTCTAGAAAGGGGATTTCTTCAGCACCAAAAATCCATTAGGTGTATTTGCATACAACTTGTTGGTGCGCATGCACACGAGCACTGCTCGTAAATGGTCAATGAGATTCTCCACATCTGACCTTTCTTGTTCCACACGGCTATGAGCAAAAATGTCATCAAAATGGATTTTTGCATATCCTCTATGAGGGCGGAACAACCGCTTCACAAGACGATTAAAGGTTGCGCTGGCATTAGAAAGTCCCTGAGGCATAAAAAGCCACTCCTAAAGCATGCCACTCGGCGTACTAATCTCTGTGAGCGGAATATCACTCGCTCGCATGATCAGTTGGTAATAACCATCGACTAAGTCGAGTGCGCTAAACATGGTGCAACCCACCATAGCGTTCTAAAGAACATCCTTTCTATGAATAGGTGCCTGCGCTGGTATAGTGGCCGCATTGAGTTTTTTGTAAGTGTGCACAATACGCCACTTACCATTGGGCTGTCTGGCACAAAATGTCGGTGTCGAGTGTGGAGATTTGCTCTCCCGCACCATGCCTGCCGCGTGCTTTGCACAAAAGAACTCGTTCATGACTTCACACTGTTCCTTAGGCAATGGCCACTGCTTTGTGACACAGTATTTGGTCCCAGAGACCAGGCCAATTTCGTGATGCACACCTCTGTCGGGAGGAAGAGTGGATGGTGGATCATGACACACCACGTCCTGAAATTCCTTCACCGAAGGATAGGAGGGATCCGAGGGATCTTTCAAAATGACAGATTCACTGCGAGCACTGAGTTCAACTTTTATGTCCTCAAGGACTGTATCATCTAAAAGGGATGACGCGTCCAGCTCTAGGTCAGGTCTAAGGACCACCACATCGGACAAGGCACCAGCCTTTAAGGCCTGATGTAATTTATCTACAGACATTTCATCTAGCTATAACAGAGCGTTAAGGGATGAGAGGAACTCGTGGCTAACTTCTCCATCAATGTCTTTCGTCACCCCATTGACCAAAATGTACAACCGTTCACTGGTGTACTTCTGGGACATGGCAGATACCTTTCGTTTTGCAGCAGCCATATGGCGTCGCCGCCGTCTCTTCACGGAGACTGACCACTTTAACATGTTAGAAACATCCGGTTCCATGAGGTAAAGATCATCTTCAACCCCAAATTGTTCTACCTGAGAGCCAATGTCACCACCGACATTAAGGGTGGTGCCATGCGGCCGACCATATCTTGTGGATTATTTTCCACGATATTCGCATGATATGAGCATGTCTCTCGATGCCTTGGCATATCGCCAACGATGTCAGTACCGACATTCAGTGAGGTGCTATCACGGCCTACCTCACTCATTGGAGTACGTGTCACTGCACATGCATAACAGGGATCACACCCAGGATGAATCGGCATTAGGCCATCGATGATACTAGCATTTATTGATTCACTATTACCAGTGCCACTCAACGGAGTACGTGCCGCTTCACTATTGTTAATGATATCAGAGTTGAATAGCTCAGACACTCCAATGTCTATCCCGCTGACATGCTTCGTCAGTAGGGCGCAACAAGAGTGCTTTTGTTGCCTAGCAAAGGTGGGATAATGACTCTCCAAATTTTCACTAGAAACATTGTGCGTTGCGCCTAAGGTCTTCTAAGTTCAATTAATTTGTGTTTCATGGCGTTCCAGACAAGCCATCCCAAGAATGAGATCATAACTCGAGTCCAAATTCAAGACAAGACAACGTTCGTTCTATTATAATGAAGTCTGAAACTTTACACCTAAGTTCAATGGAACTTTAGATACGGTGACACGTGTACCTGTCACCAAGCGAATAGTGATAACATCACACTCATGCTCTTTAAGCGCCTCAGCATACTGCTGACATACCTCAAAGTATCTGCTCCGAAAGTAGTTGCCCAACGCCCCATAGTCAATCAAAATTGACCACAGCTCTTCAACGCCCTTAATCTTAGCCGAGTCTACTAACAAGCCTGACTTATACTCACGCCTCAAGGCGACTTTCACAAGTCCGTCTGGGGCTAAGCCCTGTCTATCTCTACCACCTGAAGATTTGCAGAGCCTAGTTCCTCCCTATAAGGCGACCCGCGACTACTGGAAGTTGACAGGTTCCCGGTCCGTACACATCTTCGGGTTAGGAGACGGATTCCATCTCTGCCGACTTTGACGCGGTTTCTGCAGCGGACACTTTGGACCCAAGCGTTTGGTGTTCCCGCACGTGTAAATCTACGGATGCTACGTTGCTGTTCAACAGCTTGATGCTCGGCTTCTACTTCTTCAGCACAGCTAAGGTCCATGGACTCAGCCTCGTCAAATGATCTTTGGGCATGCCCATGAGTGCCATAGCGAGCGGCTTTAAAATTGAATTTAGCGTTAAACGCTATGTCTAAAGCCTCTTTAAACGTTGAGGGGTGGACTCGGAATACTTCTTTCCTCGCGACCCCAGTGCAAAGTCCTTCCATAGAAATGGTGACACGGACTTTCTCTGGAAGAGGGTCCGGCTGCATAGCAGCTATGAGATTTCGCAACTCTTGGACAAACTCCAACAATTCTTTTTTTTCCTTCCTGGAGGCTAGGAATTGAGAGCGAACACGATACGATTAATTCGGTGGCGCGAACACCCGAGACATCTCTCGTTTAAGCGAATCCCATGTGGAAACGCAGCGCTAACCGACGTATCAAAGGTAAGAGCCCATTTTTTGTCTATACCACCGAGCTTAGCAATGGCTAGGCCTACTTTATATCGCTTCGATAAAAGCAAGGCGGCTTCAATAGCTATATCGATTTCTAGGATCCAGAGGTAGAGATTTTACCCTCTTTTCCCTCGAAAGTCCTAACGCTAAGAGTGAGAGGACGAGTCTTCGACTCACTGTCAGGTACTGGAAAGTACCGTGTAGGTACGGCTGCTACTAAATGGTCGTGGACCTGACCTATCAGCGTAGCCTCAAACTACATAAATGCATCAAGACGTGAATTAAGCACTTCTGGGCCTTGAGCCACAGTGTGGTCGACCTGCTAGACCCCTATCAACGATCTGAGCTAATCAAGCGCGATACGTTGAGCCTCAGAGAGGTAGTCAATACCCTCCATCTCTCACAAAGGATTAGTCGAAAAAACTTGGGTGTAGGATTGACCACAAGTGCTACCGAATGTAGAGGAGCGACACAGCTCTTTAAGTCAGAGGAAGATTTTTTAACAAGCCAACGGATTACGGCTGACAGCCTATTAGTTCTACGAAACTAATATAGCAAGTTAAAGAGTCACCCAGTTCTACGGAACTCGGGTGGACTCTACGAGCTAACAGCTCAACTACCGTGTCGTTCTAGAGAAGCACCAGCACAATGTGCAGGGGAGTAGCAGTCTAGGGACTCTCTAAGCTATGGCAGCTCTAAGGAATTGCAGGGCACAATGTGCGAAAGGGGGGGGGTCTAGGGACTTCTGCTCAAAATGAGAACTGAACTTTATTTAGATTTTATATCCGATAAATTCTATTTAAGGTATCCTATATTAGGCTAAACTAGAAATAATAAAAATACCAGTATTCGAACTAAATGGATAGTTGGCATATCACTCAGTCATCAAATGATGACGGTACATACACGGTAAGTACCGTAAACCTGGGAATATCGATCAAACGATATTTTCTTGCTGATAAAAAATATAAGGTCACACACATCCATCCATATCATTTATGGGAGGTCTTTGACCAATTTAGCCAAAGGCTAGTGTGACCCCGTTACATTGATGGCTTACCTATATTAAATACAGTTCTCTTGATACCCTTAACTCAACATAGCTGTTAAGTGCATAAGCCTCCTCTGCACGTACTAGTGTTCGTGAAGTTTCATGGCACCCAAACAAAGGGTACCACGTTACAATGAGAGACTCCGAAGCTTAGAATTATGAGGATTTCTTCTAGTAGTTGAATCTGTAGAAGGATTACAATTAACACTTGTTTATGTTACTCAACGTGTGTTTAAGGATCCGTGATTTCCCTATTTAAATATACTGAACAGGTAACGCCACTCGCTCGCGACTTCGTCCGTAGCTTATATTATCGAGATGTTAATTTGTTACTCTATCCTGTATGACCATATTGGCAGAGACCACCTAATCAACTACTACATGTGTATTAGGCGGCTTGGTGTCGACCTGGGATGAGTGTTTCGAACGATATTTCTGCATCTTGTATGGTACTGCTTGGAAGAACAAAATTACCCACAATTTTTCGTCACGCGATGCTATAAAAGGTAATTCGACGTTTGTCCGTGGTGCAAATGAGCATATTCTAAAGATCTTTCTGAAAAGTCAGTACAGATAGCTCACAGTTAGACGGACCACGGTTAATGGACCAACACATTTTTTTACCGCATTAAAACCGCATTTACTGGACAAAAAACACATACAAATTTTAAGTTTTTTTTTCTATCGCACAGCTAATGGACAAAAGAACGTAGTGACGTCCACCACCCGTCCCATTCTCCCCACTCAAGGACGAATCGCAATTTCCAAACACCTCCGCAGACAAACACGACGTACGAATGGCGCCCCGAACGCACCTTTTCTTCGTCCAGAAGAGAGCTCTACAGATACACCAGCGAGAGAAACCTGGACTCACGCAAGCGATATCTGTTGATGGGCGCTGGGATAGTTTGGAGTCCGTGTTGCACGGTACACGATCAGCAGGATTCTGAGCGAGGACGTTCCTGTATTCCTCAATCTAAGAGCCAAAAGGCAGCAGAAGGGCAGACATGCCGAGGTGGAGAAAGCGCTGTTCCATTTCGTGCTCGACACTCAAAGTAGAGTCACGTTGAACGACTTCATCCTCCATTAGAAGGCCAATTAACTGATCGAGGACGCAAATGTAACGATGACGCTCTCGCTTTCGTGGGTGTCGAGGTTCAAAGGTCGACACGGCATTAAGTCTTACCGACTGCATGGCGAGGCGGCCTCAGTCGAGCTAGAGACCCTTCACCATCGGCGCCAGGAACTCAGGATCCTTCTCGACGGCTACGTGGCGTGCGATGTTTTCAATACGGATCTAACCGGTAATTTTCATTGCATGATGCCTTCGCGGGCTCTGGCAACGACGCCTTTGAGTGGCAAGAAGAAAGATAAGTCGCGCATCTCGATAGGTCTATGCTCCAATATGGACGGGACTGAGAAACTGGACCTTATCGTGATCAACAAGTCCCTCAACCCCCGTTGCTTTAAAGCCATCGACGTTTCCAAGCTACCCGTCCACTTCCATGCAAATGCAAAGGCATGGATGACTGGCGGCATCTTTGCAACTTGGTTGAAAGCGTTCAATCTCAAAATGAGTGGGCGAAAAGCTCTTCTGCTGCTCGACAACGCGACCTCACAAGTCAATTTGGAGCTCTCAAACGTACATATTAACTTCCTTTCGCCAAAGACCACCTCCCAATTGCAGCCGATGGACGCGGGCATCATTCGCACTTTCATGCTTAAGTACAAGGCCCAATTCGTGCAGTGGCTACTGGAGATGGTGGCGGCAGGGACGGAGGACAAGAAGCTCGACGTTAATAGCGCAATCCGTATGGTGGTAAAATCGTGGGCTGAGGTGCGCCCTGAAGCGATTCGACACTGTTGGATCCATACAGGAATCTTGTCGGTAGTTATGGCGGCAGTGCTCCATAGGCAAGACGAGCCGGTCCGTCCCAATAATCTCTTAATCCTGGCTAATCTAATCGACAAACTATCCTTATCTGATGGAATGGATGCAGACGACTATGTGGAGTGTGACAACAACCTGAAAGAATGAGAACCAGACCCGATGCAACTGCCACCTCTGAGCCATTTTTTACGGGGTGAGTCGTTACATCACAATTTATAAGAAATCGTTAATAGAATATAACTATAAGAGTTATATTCTCGGAATATTGTCACAAAGACAATTATTCTGCAGCACTTACGAGTAGTTCCTAATTGGTTGATATAGGCCATTATATCAACCAACGAAGACGCGCCACGACAGACGCACGCAATGAGTGGTGAGCAGATAGTTGATTTACACATTTGTATTCAGACATAATTAGATGAAGATAAATAGTGATTTATTGCAGACATTAACTATTATAAATACAGTTCTACTTTTTACTTAAACCAAGTACTCGCTTCTTCTTACCGTCTTCCTCTGCACGTACTAGTGTACGTGAAGTTACAAGGCACCGCCTTATTCTGTCATCAGAATAAGTAGCTTGTACTGTCATCAGTACAAGCTTCAGGGTGCCCCGTTACACCTGGTAGCACTTTGTAGTCCGTCCAAGGACCACGTTCACATCTTACATAAATATGTTGGATGATGAAGATGACCAAAGCTTTCACGCTACGCGTGACGGCTACTTCCATTTGAGCGATGTCGAATGGGATGCGGTTGAACGGATGGGTTCAACCATGGGCATCCATGCTGTTAGCGTCATGCTAGAGGCTCTCAATAGAGATGCCCAACATGCTACTATCGCCAAGTTCATTCAAAATGAACTTGACGCTGAACGCGAGAAAGTAGCCTTGCTTCACCAACAAGGTTCTCAACAAGCAGAGTTGTTGAGAGAACAAGGTGCTCAACAGTTTGAACTGTTGAGACAGCAGCAGGCTGCTGCTGGTGGGTCGATGCACTCACGTCGACCCGAGACTTTGAAGATTGACATCTCTAAGTATACGGAAGTCGAAGAGGTCTCCCTCTTGAGATGTTTTGTAGAATTAGACGACGCCATAAGGGCGCGTCGCATCAACGACGGGGATATGCAAGTTGCATTTGCCCAGTCAAATCTGGCAGGACGTGCCAAGACTTGGGCTTTGGGACTCAAGTTGCACGACCCATATGCGTTTGGGTCGTTGGAAATCTTCAAGTCGCGGCTCAGACAAACGTTTGAACCGCCTAGAGCTGAGTTCAGAGCTCGAACTGAACTCTTGAAGCTCAAGCAGGGTAAGCGTGATGTGCACGCTTACGCTCAACATATACGACATCTCACGAGTTGTATAAGTTCCAAATCGGTGGATGAACACACGTTGGTTTCGGTGTTCATGCAGGGTCTTGCGGATGTTCCCGTCAAGACTCACCTGTTCCAACTTGAACTAGATTCACTAGAACAAGCCATTTCCATTGCGGAGCAGGAATACTTCAGTCTGAGACAGGCTCCCGCCAGCTCGACATCATATCATCAACCGAGACGATATGACAACGGAGGTCCAGAGCCGATGGAACTCTGTCATGTAGAGAGCGAGAAGGCTCGCTCTACAGGCTACAAGAAGTTGCAGAGATGCAACAGATGTCAAAAGACGGGACAATACGCTTACGAGTGTAGTGCCCCTCGTCCAGTGTCTCGCAACACTGGGCGTAGTGACCGTCCACCCATGAGAAAGGGGCAGGGACGCGGGTCCGCAGTTGGTGCAAAGACGCAACAACGGGATGGACCGTCAAAAACGGACAGGATCAGTAGGTGCGGAGCACCCTACTGGTCCATCAACGTCAAGAGAATTTGTAGGCCTCTTGATGAAGGTTGCTCCCAACACACAAACGTTGTGCGTTGCTGCTCTAGGTAATGAGATCTCACTCATTACCTTGAAACTCGAAGTGACGAATAAGTTGTCCCTTCGAGCTCTAGTCGATTGTGGGGCGTCCAACAATTTTGTGCAACGCCAATCGCTAGAAGATGTTCATTTTAAGTTCAGTGAATGTGACACACCTCCTACGAGGATGACGGTACGTCTTGCGACAGGCGCATCCGTAACCGTCATGAAGCGTATAGTGAAGATCCACTATACGCTAGAAGATACCTAATATGAAGATGACTTTATCGTATTGGATTTGGATGACAAATTTGATGTCATCTTTGGAATACCGTGGCTCAGAAGGTACGAACCACGAGTAAACTGGCAACATCGAACAGTGACGATGCCTGCCGCTTGTTCATCAGATGGCCATCTGATGAACGTTTTGGAGCGTCAACAAGCTTGTGGATGTACTACGAGTGAGTGCGATGGCCTTACTTGTGGTAAGGTCGTTAGTACGACTGCACAAAACCTTAGTGTACCAAACAGTTACACTTCGGAGCAAAGTTCCGGCGGCTGTGAGGAAACACAGGCTGCGCCGAAGGTCCACCGCTCGAATAAGTCAAGTGGACCGGGACAAAGATGTATCCCTAGCGGGGAACAGCTAGAAGAGAAACAATCGATCGCTCAGGTTAAGCGAAACGATAATCCTAGATCGACTGGAGAGTCTTTCGTAGAGGATCTTGCTGTGGTTGCGCAACCACAGCTAGAGGAAGTAAAGGGAATAAGTCCCGATATTAAAGATACGGCGGAAATAAGTTCCCCGAAACCCGCGGGAATAAGTCCCCGGGAAGCCGAAGGAATAAGTCCTTCGAAGCCTGAGGGAATAAGTCCCCAGGAAATGACAGAGACATTGAATGTCATAGTCAATAACGGATCAAGTGTAGGCGCTTATACGCTTGATCTGATTGCGCCTCCGAAGTTGACTTCGGAGATCACTCAGTTGCCAACGCTCGAACATAAAAGGTTCTTGCGTGATCTGCGTAGTGGCAAAGTCAAGCAGATCTGCATGCTCGTCGCTGACGACGAGTGTGTAACCGACATAAGGTCAGCAACAGTGTTCACTGAGAACGAGAGAGTTCTCAGTAGTTCATCTATGGACGAGAGTGTCCTAGATGAAAAGACACGAATTGAGCGATATGACTCACAATCGTGGGAATCGCTCAAGAAAATCCTTTCTATGAAGATTTGGTTGAATTCAAGGATGTATTCCCTGAAACTGTTCCGTGCGAATTACCGAAGGATAGAGGTACTCGACACGAGGTCGAGCTTAAACCAGGCTCGAAGTACTGTGTCATGAAGCAGTGGCCACTGCCTCGTGAACAAGTACTTGCGATCGACAAGTTATTTGCCTATCGTTTAGCTGCGGGCCATGTGAGGGGAATCAACTTCCCCACATAGCTCTCCGACCTTCTGTGTGCGAAAAGCTACAGGAGGGTGGCGGATAGTGCACGCGTTCAACAAATTGAATGCTGCAACGGTACCGGCTCAAAAGCCGATACCAAGGAAGGACGTAATCATCGATAATATGTCAAAGAGTACCATCTTTTCGTCCATGGATTTGATGGACGGCTTCCATCAAATCCTTATGCGGGAACAGGATATACCCTATACCGCAGTTAGCACGCCTAGCGGCATGCTCTGGGAATGGCTAGTAATGCCACAAGGGCTTAGTAATGCCCCTGCCACGTTCAACAGATGTGTGTCACATCTGTTGAGACCAGTACGAGAATTCGCGCCGAGTTATTTCGATGACGTATTCATCCATAGTCGAGCTATGGATGGAAAGTCGGACGTTGAGGTTCACAGGTACCACGTCCGACAGGTTCTTACAATCATGCGAAAGCATCAATTGTGTGCCAACCTCAAGAAGTGTATATTTGCAGCAAGCGAAATACCACTTCTTGGGTGCATCGTTGGTAAGAACGGTGTACGTCCTGATCCCGAAAAGATCAAGGTGATCACCGACTGGCCTGTGCCGGTTGATGTCAAAGGTCTTCGAAAATTCCTTGGACTAGCGGCGTATTTGCATAAGTATTCACGCAATTACGCCGAAATGACTGTGCACCTCTCTCGTTTGTTGAAAAAGAACGAGAGGTGGTTATGGAACGCTGAATGTCAGCGCTCCTTTGATGGTATCAAGTAGAGCTTGATACAATCCCCAGTCCTAGCAATTGCCGATCAGGACAGGCCATTTCATGTGGTCTGTGATGCCAGCGATTTTGCAATCGGCTGTGCATTAACGCAGTGCGATCTTGAAGGCGTTGAACGCGTCGTCTGCTACCAGTCGCGTCAGCTGCAACCAGCTGAGCGGAACTATCCAGTGCATGACAAGAAACGCCTTGCCATGAAGTATGCACTCGCAAAGTTCAGAGTCCATCTATTAGGAGATAGACCCTTCATTGTTTACGCAGACCATGCGTCGTTGCGCACGGCAGCAAACAGCCCGCACCTTTCACAACGAATGGCGCGGTGGTTGTCATTCTTTGCAGAATACAACTTTACGGTCGAGTACAAACCAGGACGACTTAATGTCGTCGCTGATGCACTCTTACGTCGTCCCGACTTTGAACCAGTCGTAAGACCCAACAGTGAGACAGCCACTGTTGCGGTTATGACGTCCTCAGTACCATCTTCAACGTTGCATGATGATGTGAGGCGGGCATACGCCCAAGATGGTGAGATTGTGAAGTTGTTGACACATCTCTCACAGCCATCTCGAGAATCGTTGAAACGATTGTCGTCTGCGTATCGATCTGCATCAGATCGATACACTACTCGCAACGGGTTACTGTATTATACAGCCGTTACTGGTGACACACCACGTGTTTTCATTCCAGATGATACTGATCTGCGTTTGCGGATCATGTTCGAGTATCAAGATGCTCCTATAGGAGTACATCGTGGCCGGGAGAAAACATATCTCACGGTAAGTCGAGACTTTTACTGGCCCCGCCAGTATCGGTTTGTGCGAAAGTATGTTCGCGCATGCGAAGTCTGTCAACGAGTGAAGTCAAGTCCTTCACTGCGTGCACCTTTACAGCCTCTACCAGTTCCGGCTGAGTGCTGGGAATCCATCTCAATGGATTTCGTCTTCGGGTTACCCAAAGACGCACGCGGGAATACGGGTATTCTCGTATTTGTTGACAGATTCAGCAAAATGGTACACCTTGTGGCTGTACCAGAGTCAATCAGAGCAAGTGGCTGTGC